CGACGCGGCCCCGTCCCCCCCAGCACCGGCGCCGGGGGCCTGGCAGTCGGGCCGTGCGCTCACTTCTTTCCCTCCTTGTCCCACAGTCTTTATTGTTTCTAAAATCCACAAATTCCAGTCGTTTGAATTAAACCAGTTCCGGTTGTTAACGTGACCCAATGCATTCTAATTTGCACAAAATAGGTTTCCCTATAAATAGGCAGCCCGAGAACGGGAGCTCAGAGCTGCCCCAGTTCTAAGGACTTATGAGTGGATTTCACTGCGGAACAAACAAGTCTTTCGGGCCGGTTTTTGACACATCATTAAACATCTTCAAATCCCCAGAGAAAGGAAAAAATACATCCGGTTGTTGGACTTGGGAAAAAAAATAAAAAGACTTTCCTCGTCTTGTGTGCGGGGCTAAGAGCACACGACACACACCGCACATTTCAGCCCCGAGAACGAAATCGTCTGGGACGCTCGAGAACACTGCGCCGGGCCGAACAGCGCCTTCCAAATGTTCCCGTCCACCCAGAGCCCGTGACCGCGGCCTGATGTGGGGGAGGCTCTTTGCAGACGCGATCCAGCAACGACGCGGTCGCTCTGGATGTGCGTGGTCCCTCATCCAACGACCGGCTCCTTGCAGGGAGAGAAAAGCTTGCACGAGGACATGCGGACACACAGGGAGCAGGCTGCACGAAGACAGAGGTTCTGGCCAACCGCCCGCGGGAGGAGAGAGGAACCCACTTCCTCAGCACCTCCTGGAGGAACCCGCTCCGCCAGCACCCTGAGTTTGGACTTCTGGCCTCCGGACTGTGAAAGGGCGGCTTTCTGTTGTTTTAAGACATCCAGCTTGTGGCCATTTATTACGACAGCCTTGTAATACAAATACACTGTCGTACGTCGCCTTGGGCACACCGTCTTCAGTCAGACTTTACATTTTACCCAAGGGAATCGTGGTGACACTTATTCTGAGACTTATAGGTGCCTGGGTCGGGAGAGCCTTGGCCTCCCAGCCTGGCCACATGACCAGGGGGTGGACTCAGAACACGGAAGACTGTCGCCATCTCTCTTTCTGGAGCTGTCCCCGGGCACAGTGCACCGACGGAAGCTCACGATTGTGAGCAGCACCTGGGACCCAACATGCCTCCTGGAACGTGCAGCTGAACTTGTACGTCTCCATAACAGATGTTCGCTGCATCTTAAGATTCCGTGGATGGTGACGAGGCCGTAGGTCACTCACTGGTTTCTGCCCGGGGTGATCAACGGGGAGGACAAAGTGGCCCAGGGCCTAGCACAAGGCAAAGGGGCCAGGAAAAGTGAGAGAAGCCAAGTCCTGGACTTAACCCGACCTGGACAGAGAGGGGAGCAAAGGGGCTGAGGGGAGTGGAGGCCGAGGGGGGCGGGGAGGCCGCCCTGCCGGCCTAAGGGCTTTGGGGACAGACGCCTTTGCCGGGAGCTCAGGGGCCCTGTTCTCTGAGGAGGACGGGAGCTGGAGGACGAGAGCTGGAGGGTGACGTCCGTGCAGTCTGGACACGTGGTCCAGGCTGAGTTTAGTGGGCCCGCTGTGTCCCCCAGAACCAGCAGTGGGGGGAAAGCAGAACCTCCATCACACTGCAGAATCGTGGGGTCCCTGGAACAGCCTGGCCACTTCGGGGGCTCTGTCCAGGACCCCAGGGCTCTGCAGATGGCCGCAGATGCACTTGGCCATGGGTCATTTCCTTCTGGGATATTTTACTGATTTTTGAAATATTCATTCTGATCCACTTAGTTTGGTTTTCTTCTTCAGAGACTCGAAGTTGCTGTGTTGACTCTCCTTTGCCTGTCTCATTAATCACAGGAGCATCTACAGATGCTTAAAACGTAAAAGGCAAATGTGTTTTTATTCTATAGGCCTCGTCCCCAAAGTGAAGTGCACGCTCTTCGAATAATATTCTTCCCCTTCTTTTAGTTTCTATTTGTGTTTGTACTGTACAGTAAATTAATTTTTGTTGTGGCAATACACGTATAATTTATGAACAAGTAATTATTCGTGTGTCAGATGGATGGTCCCTCAGAAGTCCGGGATGATCTTGGGGTGCGTATGGGACAACTGGGCACGGAGGCTTCGAGAGGTCTGAGGCCCACGGCCAAGAACCACTGCTTTCAAAACCACTGCTTCCAAAAGTCTTGCACACCTAGTTGCTCAGTAACTGTTCGCTGATTTACCTTGGAAGGTCTTTAAATAGATGTAATAAACATATATCTCAACTTGGCAAAAAAGGGGCGGAAATGTAATTTGAGTAACAGTATTCAAATATCTTAAGACCCACGCTTCATCTCTGCCCTGTATAATAGCGATTACTTTTTCTTTGATTTTTCTTACTCTAACCCTTAATTGCATAAAAAGAAGCCTGCAATCCTAAATATCCGAAAGGGAATCATCTAGGTGCACCGATTTGCTACGGCAATTTTTGTTTTGTTTTAATTCGTCTCGTTTTTTAATACACGATATAAATCGTCACCCAAATCAGTTCTTTGTTTTAAGGCTACATGTGTGATTCCCACCAGGTAGCTCTCCTCTACCTGCTACACACAAATTGCAGGTCAAAAACAAAACGGAACGACCTCAGTAGCAAAACCGACAGTTTGTGGCACAGATAAACGTCGCCCTGGTGACTAATACCTTAGACTTCAGCAAAGGGACCAGAGGAGATGCCCGCCTGAGTGTGGGATTGTGAATCCTTTTCAGAGCCGATCTATGAGGGAAAAAAGTCTTGTTTTGCTATTTAGTTTTTCCGTTGAGGGTTTGGATACTTTTTCTTTCATTCATATGATTGGGTTTCAATCAATGCTGACTATTGTGTTGTTTCCTACAGTGAATGCACGGAACTGTTTTGTTTAAATCATATTACTCCATTAAAAAGAGGGACTACATATCCAGTCACACCACCCGCAGGTGGATCCGTTTCCACCGGTTTAGTGCGTTAGCCAATCTGCTCCCCCGCCCCACTGGTTTCAAAGACGTTGGTTTGAAACTAACGTACAGATCAACGGGAATGTCACCTAGACCCAACCGTGCAGATTTCAGTCTCTCTGTCATCACTGTGAATTCAGTTTCTCAGGGAAGTTGTCAAAGTCCACCTTCCCTTTAAACATAGAAATCCTCTCTGTTAAAATGTGCACGACACTGAGTCTTCTCGAATAAAAAATAAAAATCTCTGTAATCCTTCATGATGCCACTGTGATTTCTAAAATTAACTTCACGCGGCTATGCCGTGGACTCGTCCCTATGCGGACCCATGAGTGAGAATACTTTTTCCAGAAATCGAGGTGCCTGAGCCGCACCCCCACCCCATTCCCAGCCCCCACGTTCGCCCTCAGCTCTGAGCCTCCGGGTCTGAGTCAGCCATGGGAGGGAGAGGCCTTAGAGCCTCCTCATGCTGCTTTTCAAATTAGTGACTCACATCGTAAAACAATAACTAACATTTAAAAATGTTACGTATGTGCCAGACACTTTTTAACATTTACAAAAGTCACTTGTAAACATCGAAACCAACTAAATACCTAAGAAATGTTAAAATCACAAGGCTAACAGCTCAACACCCGACTCCGGCCAATGCAGTCTGATCTGAGTGCGTTTCATTCCAGGTTGAAATGTGATTCCACTGTGAGTCATGGTCATTCATCTAAGACTGCCGGGTCGCTTTTATTTCAAAGGTCTAAATGACCTACTTATGGAGCAGGCAGGTAAAGAACAACAGAGAGGTAAGAACTGCCTCGCTGAAGCATTTAAATAGGGTGAGAAGGGGCACGGGCCGAGGCACAAAGAAACCAGACGGGGGTCGGGGGTGGCTCTCGGGCAAGTGTGCGTGGGGACACTGCGTGTGGCACGCATCCTTGGACGAGCCATCGGGCCTCTGAAGCTCCTTTTTCAAATAAAGGAAGTGGGGTGGACTTAACCCGACCTGGTGGAGATCCATAACGTCTAAGACCCCTTCCGGTGGTAAGTCACACAGTCCTTTAACGCCATCAATCTCTAAGACCCCTTCCGGTGGTAAGTCACACAGTCCTTATTTAACGCCATCAATCCGGGACAGTGCTGGGCAACCGCGCCCGTTGGATCTGAGGGAGAGCTCAGGGAGGCTGTTTAATATGCACCTTTTATGGCGCTGGAACCCTGGCGGGAACAGCTGCCCTCCACGCAGTCACCGTGGCCTTCCGGTCATGAGCGCCACTGGGGGGCACGCCCTCCCTGCACTGACAGAATGAGAAAGAACGAGGCGGTGGATGGATGGCTCAGCGAAAGGCCGGGCTCAGAGCTGTTTGGGGACCGTGGCTCGGGAAAGCTGAGGCTGGCCGCGTCGCTGAGTTCTGACCTAGCTGCTGCCTGGCTGTGTGCAGATGGGAGCAGTGAGCCGGTCGCGAGTGACAGGTGGGGCGTGGGGAAGCCGGGGCCCACCCTCCAAGTCTCCTCAAGGGCTGCCCAGTCTAACGGCCAGCGACTGTGGCTGGCTGCCCAGCGAACTGTCATCTGCTGGCGTCGTTTCGATGGCCCTCAGCTGCAGGAAAGTCTTAATCATGGGTGCCCAGAAGTAGAGCTGAGACTCGCTGGGCCACTTAGGGAGTCACCCCGATGAGGTCACCACACCCAGATTAGAACGCTTTCCAGTTCTAAAACTGTGATGGGCCGAGCA